GGTCGGGCTCCCAGCCAGACGCTCCGAGGAAAGGAGTCAGTCCGTGGAAACAGTCGCTGGGCTCCAGAGACCCCATGCAAAGTGATCCTATGTATATTTGTTTTTTTTTTATTTCTTTCACTCCACTCACTACGCACTTGTTCTCCTTACGCTTCTGCAGTCTTCCTAAGTGCCAAGGCTGATCTCTCCTGAACACACCTCCGTCAGGGACCAGACCCCAGACCCAGCCCCGTGCTATATGTGTTCTGACATGAGCGGAGATACATGTGAAGGAGTGTTCGTCACATCATACCCAGAAGCATTAAGGACCAATGGTTACCCTGTCAGTGCTGTTTGAGGGGAACAAAAGCTTGTCAGTCTTCTGAGATTATCATTCTCGCCTTCGTTGTGCGAGCATTAACGTTTTGTACTATCTGCACAACCTTTTTGTATTTAAAAGCAGCCTGCCCCCCCCCCCCCCCCCCCCCCCCCCCCCCACCCCCCCCCTCCCCCCCCCCCCCCCACCCACCACACACACACACAGGTTCAGTTTGCCTTTGACTAAAGCTGTAGGTCATAAGGATGTTAAATTGGCATGTAAATAATGATTCCACTTTATTGATACTTCAATGTCATTGTGGCCAGAAATTAAAACTGACGTGGTAAATTCAGTCGTGAGCTGCAGCCTCTCCTGCACCTGTTTGATAAAACTGAACATTAGTCAAGTAGCGGAGTCTTTTTTTTTTTTTAAAAAACACAAATGCTCTTTGTGCGTAGAAATGCAGTTTCACTCTAGCGAGTAGCTTCAGTTCTGTCATGCCATGGTTAAACAGATGTAAAGCGTCGGTGGGTTCTTGTCCTCAATGGGAGGAAAATGTGTGTAAGAAAAGTACATTACATTCCCCGGTGCATCCTTCAGGGACAACCTGAAACTGGATGCACAGAAGCACAAGACTTTCAGTACAGGTCTGGATCAGTTGCAGTCAGATTGCCCTTTATTTAGCGGCCTCAGCATCATCAATGATCAGCCTTCACTATCGCAGACTTTTTTTTTTTTTTTTTTTTTTCTCATTGAAAATTAAGAGCTTTGCCAAGGATGAAATTCATTTTTACCACAAAAAAACTTTTATTTTATTTTATTCCAAGAAAAGCCAAACATTCTCCAAATGCATCATCTGTAATAGTGTCTTAATACAAACGGCTGTAGACTAAACTTCACTTAGGATTGTGTGCTCAAAGAATAAACACCAACATCTGGTGTCTCTCAGTCCCACAGCTTGTACAATGTTTTTCACGTTGTCCGTCCGTCTGTGCGATTCTCTGAACACGATGTCTCAGGACGCCTCGACGTTCACTTTACAAATATGAACCGATTACAATTGGTGGTTATAGGTCAAAGGTCACTGTGACCTCACAAAAACCAATGAATGAAGTGATGGCATTTTATATCCAAAGGGTCAAAGGTCAGCTTCACTGTGACATCCTAATGTTCTGCAAAAACACTTATTCAACGCCTGTAACTCAGGAAACAAAACGGGAGGTTGTGACCAGTTCACATTTGGTTAGATACTGAATTGGGGACAAAAATCTCGTGGGTCCACATTGAATTTGTAGCATCTTTGCAGCAACATCTATATTTGAAGCGTTGTCTACTGTCATTGCCACGACTTTTGTGATCCATCACAATCAGCTTTATTGACCAAGTAGCTGACACACAGAAGGGATTTGATCTCCACACGGAGCAGAGCAAGAACAACAAAGCTCAACAAAATCAAATCAAACGAATTTTGTTTATACATTCCTATATCAGAAATCAGAAACCTTTTTTATCAAAATTCCTTCAAAGTCTTAAATACAGATATTGTATGACCCTGGACAGACAGATGTAAACTGCAACATGATTGGTTGGTGGAGACGTACCGCTGTGAGGTGGTAATTACAGTTGGTGATTCAGACACAGCTAGTTGTGCTCAAAAATGATTGTGTAATTGTAGTTTGATCTGCAGCCCCAGTATTCATTTAGAGTAATTGAGGCACGTTGTCAATATCTGATGATAAATGAAGTTTTAAGTAAACAGTCGCAAAGTGTTTTCACTTTGCTGACATGTTTCAACCTGAGCCAGACGTTCAGAACAAGCCGAGCCAAATGACCTTTCCAAATGAGGGACTGAGAAAAGCAATGAACTTTAATAACCTCACTCCTAACACTTACCAAGAGGAGTGGGTTCAACGCACAGGAAGTGGGACAGAGGCGGCGTCGCTACAGGCCGCCGCACCTCTGAGACGCACTACATGTTCCATAGAGCAGAAACTGTGAAACACGGCTTTCACTTGCATCACTGTTAATCACTTCACAAAAAGACTGTTACTGTAAAATGATGTCAACAAGGACTTAATCATTAAAACAGGATGAAGAGCGTTTCTCCTGTGCAGCATAAACAAATACTGTCTCAATGCATTTCTGTTGTTTTTGTTTTCCTAATCATGTCAACAACAAACACTTGAAGTGGATTGTAAATTGCAAAAACAGATGCACACTTGAACACTAACATTCAACACATTTTTTTTTTTGCAAACAACAAGGATCTACATTTTGCATTTTCACATGCTACGTTTCTCCTTTGGAAAATACATTTTCAATAAAAATGTAAAATAAACATCCGTGTTCTTTGTGTAGATGAATTTTATACAAGAATTTCTGTTCATGAGAAGGTGCGTATCAGGGAGGCAGACAGAAATGATTAATGACTTCTGCTTAAAATAGTGTGTGTGGATGTGGATCAGTTATTCTGATAGAAAGCTAGAGGCAGCAATGCCACACTTACTAAAACCACCACCGCACATTTATTTGTATTTGCTCCAGCAGACGTGTTACCTTCCTTCTTTGTAGCTGGAAAAAAATCACAGTTATAACTACACAACTAAATTAATCAAAACTTCATTCAGTTATTTTGTGTGTCAACATGCTGTGATGTGAAAATACCAGGAGCCTGTAAATGGTTAAACTAAAAGAAATACAGCCCATAAAAAATGTTCCTAGTTTCACATGTACGTGCACTAATGGAAAGGTCAGTAACAGAGGAGGGGGAAACCTGTGGCGTTTTCTAATCTGAAGTCAGCAGTGCTGGAGCAGCTTGTGTAGTTTGCTTCACCACCCTGGTTAGTGCTGTTTCAGGGTTTATTGACCTGCTGAGGAAGTGAAGCCAGACCTGACCAACCAAATTATCACAAACAAACAGACAACTTAATCAATTTCCTCTTGGAAAACCCATTTTAGTGCAAAGGTCAACAGCACAGAAATAAGACAAAAGGCAGCTGCTGCAGCATGTTGTTGTCTTCTTCAAGCCGAGCTGAAGTATGTTGACAGATCTTTGCACAGAAAGAAAACACGTGACAAAGTCTCAATATAGTTTGGATTTGTAGATGTAAAGGATAATCTTACCTTTATGCATCTTACTCATATTTTACAGACAACTAACTTTTCTCTGAACAGATGTTATCAGCTCAATCAGCAGTTCCACATCTTTTTGACTTATAGCCCTTCAAAGCAAAGTGATCTTATCGTGACCTCTTGTACGTCAGCACAAGCAGATCATCAGAAAGGGATGTTTTCTCTTCAGTTAGTCTCATTTCAGTTGCATGTAGTGGTCTGAGGAGGTGAAACCATCCAAATGATTTTTGTCGCTCTACGTTTACATATAGGAAATTTACTATAGGATCATCAAATCAACATGTTCATAACATGTAATGATACTTTTACAATTCATATTGAAATTAATTTTTACTTCTACAGATTATATAATTAGTCAATCGAGCTCAAAACATGCACGATACTAACAGGCAGGTGTTTAGCTAGCAGGCACGATGTTACTTTAGCAAGTTAGCATGCTAACAATTGGTAATTAGTACTAAAAACAAAGAACAGATGAGAGTGAAGATAATGCTGTTCGTTTTTTAAATACTTAGTTATAAAAAAGTATTGGACGAGCTGAAATGTTGACAGATGGGAAACACTTTTATATCCAAAAATGAAAACCCTCTTTTTGTGCTTTTAAGAAGGAACAGAGTCCTACATCAGAACAGCATCTACTTCACGTGACAGAAAAAGCAGTGAAAACATTCAATTTGTGCTCCAGGTTTAAAATATTAATATATTTTTATATGTGTATCTTTTACTGTACACTTTCAGTCTGTATTTGATTGTGTTAAACTATATTTTGTTGTTTGTCTTGTTAATTATGTTGGGCTACTTCTTCTACAGAGTCAAAGTCAAAATTATGGGATACTTTAGCTCGTCAGTTGCAGCAGCTCTTTTGCGTGAGATCTCCTATTCAATTGACACTGAGATGGATTGTAGGTTCATAGAGGACTATTTTTCATGTGGTTTACAACTAATGAAATTACTTCATTTGCTTGTAAATTCACATGGATTGCATCCTTGAAGGGATTTTGTGAAAGAAGAGGCTCTGGCGTCGAAAAATTGGCTTTTTATCTCATAATTATGACTTTTTTATCTCATAATATCAACTTTTTTATCAAATAATTACGACTTTTATCACATAATTATGACTTTTTATCTCATATCAACTTTTTATCTCATAATTATGACTTTTTTTATCTAATAAATATGACTTATCTCATAATTAGGACTTTTTATCCCATAATTAGGACTTTTTTTAAAATCTCATATTGGCTTTTATCTCATAATTAGGACTTTTTTAAAAATCTCATATTGACTTTTATCTCATAATTAGGACTTTTTTATCTCATAATATCAATTTTTTTTATCTCATAATTTCGATTTACCGTGAGGATATTTATTTTTCTTTCGCTGGTGGAAACAGGCTTCCATAGTGAGGGCATGTGGGCAGAGGTGCAGTATTTCCGGGAGTTTCCAGCCACAGAGAGCGACACAGCAGCATCACCTCTCTGTCAGACGCCGTCCCCTCTGACATGTCGGCGGGCTCTTTAAGAGGAGAGACTCCGCATCTGCTGATCTGTCAGCAGGCGCGGTGCCGCCCTCCCCGCACATCCTGCTGCTGCTGCTGCTGCTGCTGCTGCTGCTGCACCTCAGGGACCGACTCACACCCGGCATACTGACTCACTCAACGCCGATGCACCTGAAGCTCCCGGCAAAACATACGCTGGAATCAAATCGTTATGGATAACCGATAATCGGAACTAACATGCGCCGGGCTCCCCGTCCTCGCCATCCCGGGCTATGCAGGTGTAAGAGGTAACCGGACCGAGCTGCTGGAGAGGGACACGGCCACGCTTTATCTGCGGATCACATCATGCATGTTTTATGTACAGCCATGGCATTTTCCGCGTTGGAATGGACGACTTCTTCTGGTGCACGCCTTTAATTCATTCATTCTTCTCTTTTGGCCTCTGTGGTGGTTCAGCCGGTTCAGCGACAGGATCAGCTGCACTGTGATCAAGTAAGTGTGGGATGCACATGACAACACCTCTCACGTTACTGTGTGTGACTCCGAACACGATGCTGTAGTTTCTGTTTCTGAATGTTTATCCTAACCACTCCCCAAAAAAAACAAACAAAAAAAAACCAAACCAGAATATCCAAATACCATCCAATCACCTCACTGGGTCATTAAATGTGTGACTTTGTGCAGACGCTGGAGCTCGGTATGAGTGAGCTGAGCCTGGGAGAGCTGCCCATGGAGAGCTGGATGTCTCACCTGCCATGTGCTCTGTGGGACATCCCCCTGTACCACCTGTCCATCCCGGGTAATCTGCCTCTAAACAGCACGCTGTAGTGTTGATGAAGCTGATTGTTAATTGAGTGGTGGCTGGTTTCAGTGTAGTACAGACTGTGAGCTTGGTGCACTGCCACCAAAGAAAAAACACATGCAAATGAAGAAAACGACCTCAGCACATATGCAGCATTTAGAAAAAAAAATGCTTTAAATCAGTAAAACATGGGCAATATAAGAAATACATTCACCAATTAGACACATTTGCATTTGCATCATGATGAAATGCTGCACATTGAGCTACCAAATTGGAAATTGAAGATGTTTACTTCATTTGCTTGTGTTTTGTTGTCCCTTTGCATGTGTTTTCTTTAGTTGCAGCACTTTGAGCTCTCAGGGCCACCGTAGACGTCACATGACACAGTCATATGTCTGATGGTGATTATGAGTGTTCTTTTTTTTTTTTTTTTTTTAGGCAGCCACAATGCAATGACCTACTGTCTGGATATGAATGACAGATCACCCGTTGACCTCACCCAACCAGACATGCTTCAGAAACTGGACAAATACATGAAGCCACTCATTCGCCCCTTTGTGTACAAGTGGGCGAAAACGCAGGTAATAAATCCCAGAAGAAGACGCAAACCAGCTGGTGGTTACTCATTGTTAATGGTGGACCTCCTGTAATGAATTCCTCAACACTGTGTCTTGCAGGAGTACACCATAAAGCAGCAGCTGGACTGTGGGGTCAGATACTGTGACCTGAGAATTGCACAAAGGCCCAACGACAGCTCCACTGATCTTTACTTCTACCACGGTGTTTACACCACCCTCACTGTGGAGGTACAGTAATGCCATGCAAACACAAATGTTTACAAGCGTTTGCCACAGTGACTTCTATCCTGTTGTAAAGGCCCATCTGCATCTAGAAGAATAACCATAAACAACACATTCATCCTCAGCAGTGAGATACTAAAACCTGTCGCTCCTCTCTTCTGAGCCTTTCATTTGATTGGTTGTAAATGTTTTAACATCCAAAATCAACATTATAGTTGTAATTTTGGAGGTTTTAAATGCAGTTCAGTTACTGCAGCAGGAACACTTTTATTTATAATCTTAAACCCATTTGTCACATGCACCTCCATGAATTAACTGGCAGTTTTCTGTGTTTTTGTATAGAACTAGACACAGTTTTGAGAAGCAGGTACAGGTTTCTCTGCACTCTTGCACGTAGTGATGTGATGAAACCAGGAAACAGACCTTTTGTGTGACATTACAGTGGATATTAGGTGTCCCAAAGGGATTAAATCAGGCAGAGGATATACAGTATAAAGCATTTTTATACTTAACAAGTCAATAAATGACTTGGGCTGCAGAATAAGTTTTAAAACCTTTCAGCTTGTCTCACCTTTGCTCTCCAACAAAGCTGCCAGAGCAGGTTTGGCAAATTCCATCATATAGTAAACTCATGTGAATGCCAAAAAACAACAGATCCTGGCAATGTTCCTTGTGTGCTATTAAACAATTAAACAAGGGTGTCAATTGTGTATTAAGATTAGAAGTCTTGCTGTAGACTAAATGGTACTTGTGTTTTCCCGACAGACTGTTCTCATGGAGATAAGAGAGTGGCTGGACGCTCATCCCAAAGAGGTGGTCATCCTCTCCTTCAGCCACTTCCTCGGTCTGAGCCAGGAGCTCCACATGCTGCTCCTAACGACCATACGCAAAGCATTCACCTCCAAACTCTGTCCTAAAATGGTACGATGTCTCCTCCAGGTTTATAGAAGGACTTGGAAGAATAAAGTTGGCAATGTTCTGTGTTTGCTCTCAACAAATCCTGTGAAAAGGCCAAAACCAAGCCTTGTTTAGTGTTTTTTTCTGTGCTGTAGATCTCCATTGTCCAAAGAAGTTAGCAGCTAGCTAGCTATGCTAACCATAGCGACTCTGTAGTGAAGACATAATGCCACTCAGAGGACGTATTATAACCTTTTGTATTACAAAGACAACACTGGCTGAAGATCTTGTCAAGCCACATTCTGGACATGTTTCAACTTTTCTTAAAGGAGCTATTTGTAAGTTTTGCTATTGCTACATAGTTAACGTTAGCATCAACAGCTGTTTACTCACTAGTCTAGAAACAACATTGTGAGTTCAGCATCAAACTTCATTCCTTTACTCACCAAGATCTGTCTCCAGCGGTGGGAAGCAACACCAATGTTAACTCTTGTTTCTATCGCATCGTTTCCTCTACTGAAGTTAGCATGCTAACAAGCTAGCCCCGACCTGTCTCGTTATTTTCCAATAGCGACTCACTGTAGCCTCCAATCTGCCCTGAAGACGTATTATAACCTTGTCTTATAAACGCATCGATGGCCGAAGCTCTTGTCAAGCAACAATCACCACCACCTGCTCCTGGCAGAGGAAACTTACAAATAGACCCTTTAAATACTCACAACGGTTGTGCACCAAATGTGGATTAATCCACAGCTGAAACTAGTTTCTAACAAATGCTTTATTTACTCCTGTTTGAGTAACCTTTGGTAAAAACAAAGCTACTTTGAATATATATATGTGAGATTTACATCTTCAGTAGGAACCAATGGGCTCAAGGCTGATTGGATAGGGGCTTACTGACAGGCACATTGGTTGGTTTTGGTCTTTTCATGGGATTTGTTGATGGTAAGAAAAATATAGAATAACATCAGCCTTATACTTTCAATGATACTTAAAATATCTTCCCAGAATATGAAACTAAACCTATTATTCTGTTGATTTCAGGAAGTGTTAACTCTCCGAAACCTGTGGGCTTTAGGCTACCAAGTGATTGTTTCCTATGAGCACAATATTGCCAGTTGTCACGGCGACCTGTGGCCACACATACCTTATTGGTGGGCCAATAAATGCAAAGCTGAGGCTCTTATCGAGGAGTTTGAACACAGGAAGCAACATGGCAGACCAGGTAATCTGCTGCTGGTTTGAACACCACGCCACGCCACGCCACCCACTAGACACGTAATGGATGACCTGTCACTTATTTGTGCATTAACGCTGTAATTGGCCTACACCACTCATAAAATCATGTGTGTTTTGTGTTGCAGGAGGTTTCTTCGTCACAGGAATTAATCTGACAGAGGACCTGAAATACATCTGCACACACCCGACAGAGTCCCTGAAGGACCTGGTGGTGTCCACGTACCCGACTCTGCTCAGCTGGGTCAAAGAGCAGACCCCCGGCTCCAGAGTGGGCTCTCTCAATATCATTGCTGGGGACTTTATCACCGAGAGCCACTTTGTACCAACTGTTGTTACACTGAATGAGAAACTACTGAAATGGTCCTCATGACTTTTTACCATTACAAGTTATTCTACGAAAAAAAAAAGTGAATCAAAGCATGAAATACACACAAGCTTGTTTTGTTAAGAGCGGCAGAAAAAAATACTTGAGTACTTGAACTATTCATTTACATGTAAATGCACTTACTGGAGGCAGTGAAATGTATATTTCAGTCCTAAAGCTGCTTGGAAACAGACTTCTGTTACTTTGAACTGCATTTGTTTGTTTACATTCAGTTCACTATTTATGCAATGCACTGTATCAGTTTTCACAAGTCAGCAAGGCGGCTCGTTTTATGTTACGGTGACCAAAGCAATAATGATACTACTAATCTCACCTTAATGTAGGCATTTTAAATGAGTAAGCACAAATAATGTATTCAAAGAGCACATATGACTGTAATGTAGACTTTTTTAAATATGACATGTGGGCAGCAAGTTTAAGAAGTAGCTAAACTGTATCACCTACAATACACGTATTTATCCGTAGAGAATGTAGAGAACACATGAAACTTATGCAAAATGCATGGAAACATTATTTGCATGAAAACAACCTTGACTGTTCTATTTAAAATTGACTTGAGCCAGCAGGGTAGGCCTTGGTTTAAAATAATGCTGCACCACTGTGCCTGTGGAGATGAGCTTTTCAAATAAACATGAGCATTTTTAAGCTAATTATGTCATTTTATTCACTCAGCATTCAGACAGACAGATCAATGTTTCCTGTGCTGGACCGTCACAGTCTTGTCTCACACAAGAGAAGTGACAGTGTATTCAAACTATGAAGTCCCAGCTTTTGTGTTCCTCCTTTTCAATACTTTTCAGTTCCTTCACAATAGCTTGTATTACACTGTGTGCCTGATCTGCTGTTATGTAATAACCAGTCAGGTTTAAGAGCTACATGCTTTTTTTAAAAAGATCTACAGCCAACCAGTATAACCAGTTTTTTCAAATGCACCTAATTGACAAACATGGTGAAAAATAGATAAACACATGAGTTTAATGTAAAAGCCATGACGGAGTGATAATAGACTCTACGATGTTGAATTATAATTGATTGATACTTTGCTCAATTAAAAAAAAAGGATCATCAATGAAATGTGCATTATGAAACAATATAGGTCTGTGTATATGGTAATTATTTTATTGCATTATGAAAATGAAAATAAATAACCTTTTTTAATGCATTTATAAAAAATTCAAAATGTTTATTTTTGGCTGGACCAGCCCTATAATTGCAAATGTCCCTGAGTGACTGACTGACTGGTCAGCAGAGTGCTGAGTCTCAGTCTACTGAGCCACTCTGGGTTCCCGGCTGCTTGAGAACTGCAGGGAATTGGAGGAGCACTTCCAATACACTGAGCCTCGCCTCCATTACAGCAAATAAACTACTTTATTTCCATGTATCCTTATTACTGAAGGAGGCAGAAGAATAACTAAACATAAGACACACAGAGCAGAGAGAGAAGTCATTGGTAACGAGGCTTCGTACTAATGGCTATGAGCAACTTTACATAGCAAACAGAGGGAGTTAGACATAAAGACCTGCCTCTAATAAAAGTATGTGACGTTCTAGAGTTGAAAGTAAATGAAACCTAAACTATTGTGGATCCCAGATGGAGGTTGTGCTCTGTGAGAGACAATTTATCAGTGGTGGCCAGTGTCCTTTTTGTGTCCTGGACAAGCTGGTAAAAAAGGCTGGGTCTGTGCTTGGCAGGAGTCTGGACTCACTCAGGACTGTTGCGGAGAGATGCATGCAATATAAGATGGAGGCCATCCTGAACAATACCAACCATCCTCTCCACAACATTCTGGCAGGACAGAGAAGCAGCTACGGCAGGAAACATCTCATCTCACTGCACTGCAGAACAGAGAAGTTCAGGAGATCCTTTGTTCCCACCACCATCAGGCTGTAGAACAACTCAGCCAAATGAAGTGGACTAAATTCATTATTATTGTTTATTTATTATTAACTGTTGTTATTTTATTACCAATGAGCAACTGGACACTTGAGTTTCCCCCAGAGGATAAATAAAGTATCTACAGTATATATCTATCTATCTACCTGAAATCACGGCTCAATCTTTGTCTTTCATTTATGTGATTTTGTCAGACGATGTCACAGTTATTATAACATCAGGATTTGACCATAGGTCCAGACATATACTAGGTTAGGCACTATGACTATGGCATGTTTTATGACTTACTATACCATGATATTCTTTTCCTCACTATACTATGACATTTTTTAAGATTTACTATACTATGACATTTGTATGACTTACTATACCATATTTTTTTGATTTACTATACTACACTGTAAAATAAATTCCTAATTTAATGGAAAATAACTTAGTTTTCTAACAGTAATTTTCAGTGTTTTAAAATTCTATATGAAAGAAATTACAGAAACGATCTGTGAATTAACAGCCAAACTTCTATTTTAAGCGTTATGCCAATAATAATGAATTACATTTATTTCATTTACATTACATTTTGTAAAGAAAAATTACTGTATTATTTATACTGTATTTTTTCTGCTTTCTTAAATTACAAACAAATCTATGTAAAATAAAATGAACAAGACATTTTCAGGCAAACAACATGTTTAGCTAACTTTAATGAACTGACACACAATGACAAGTCAAATGTCCGACACCTCGCTCTGACACCATATCCGGATTAACAGGCAGGGCCCCTGTGTGTCAATCACGTGGTAGCTACGCCCTAAGATCACTCTTCTTTAACATCTAACATATGGTATTCTGTATACTGTACCGTGTGTGTGTCTGTGTGTATGTCTAGTTTTAATGTGAAATAAAGTTTTTTATGAAGCTTTACTTTGTTGATGGTTTTTATGGAGCGTGTCTAGTATGAATTTTAACAGTAGCAGCAGCATAGTATAAAAATCACAACACATGGAAGTTTTTCCTGAATTTGTAATTAAAGACTTTCTATGTTGCTTTAATCAACAACAAACATGGTAGAAATGTTTAAAATGTCCTTCAACACTGACAATAAAGGATCTAGAGATAGATACTAGAGTTTGTGCTTTTCTAATGTGTCTTATGTACTTACCAATTTGAATAACAATGAAAACAATTCACCAAAGTGACCTGTTAGATTCATCATGAGACATCTGGTCAATTTGGAAAAACATACCCAGTACAAGTTAATCACAGTAGGTTTATTTATTAAAAATCTGATCAATGACAACGATTAAGTTATGAATAAAACTAATATACATGAGCTGTACTACACTGACAACCTCTTCACAATCTGATCTGTCAATGTTCAGTTCACACTAAAGAGTGTGTAAGGCTAATACATACACCTATGAGGAAACAGCATCACATCTATGAAGAGTCTAGATTTGCTCCAGGTTGCACTTCTGTTTGGTCAGTTCCATCTGTTTCCTACTGAACACCATTTTCATGTTAAACTGGTCAATACTTTCACCTGTGAAGGTGGTGACTGTGCTAGAGCTGAACAGGTTCTGCTCTTCAAATGTTGTTACTATCATCCATCAACAACAGTAGACATTAAGTAAAAGGCAAGAAACTGAATCTGTGAACACTGAGGAGAGAGAATAATAAACACAAGAAAACTCCTGGAGAACTTTTGAATGTTCCTGCTGCTTGGTGCGTGTACTTCACTCCTCATGTTTCAATCTGCACAAAGGACGTTACTTTCAGCTTCATTCATGTCGTAGAGCCTCATCCTGACACTGACCTCAGTCACTGCAGCTGTCCCTCAAAAAGCCTTTTGAAGCCGTCACAACTGGCCACAATAACCTCACACTGATGGTTTCAAACCCAGATTTGTCCCCACAACCACAGCAAGACATGTATATACACACACACATGTACATGCACTTACAGAAGTTGATCTGCAACTTAAACATTACCACAACAACAATCACAGCCTCCACAATGACCATTAAAATAAAACAACACTTCTCAAACAGATTCAGTAAATACTGAACATTATAATCCTCATGAAGGAGGATTTACTGCAGGCCTGTTCCATTATACTGTGTTAGTTTCATTCAGGTTCACCTAATACATATATATGAATCAAAAATATAACTCAAGGACACAAATGCTAAAACAAATCAGCCCTTTATTTCAAGTTTACCCAATATACAACAACACTTAATAAAATGCATTTCTTTGAACAGAGCGGTAATGGGGTCAATGGGGCAGAAATACGTGGCTGCAGATTGCCTTAAAAGGTCCACTGTGTAACTGGTGCTAGATGTCCTGCACAGAACTTGAGGTTCAGGTGAAACTGATTATCTCTCTCCAGGGCTCCTCCCCCTGTAATAGTGAGTCATATGACGACCTTAGTTTTCTCAACCGATGCCCATCCATCCACTGTACCACAGCACATGATGTAAGCCGCAAGAATAAAAAAAAGCACACAGTACAAATTAATTCTTACACACACTAACAGCATTGTGCCCAATGGAAACTATTTACAACATTTTTACCAGGGAAACAGTCACTGTCAAGTCTTTCCTCTGCGCTCATTTTAACTTTCTATCTTGGTGTTGAAGAGTTTTTTATGACCTGGTCATGGTGAATCCAATTTAAAAATATAATTAAAAGAAAAAATAATGATTCAGTTCCCGTCTGTCATCTTTGAATATGTATACTTCTTCAGCCGTAGCCACTGTCCACGACCTCCTCAGCAGCAAAAAGTAGAAAGACACGGTCCGAGAGCAGCTGCTGAACATAGTGGAGCAATAAGAAGCTAAAGAGACAAATTTCCCTCAGGAGCTGGTGGAGACCAAACACAGAGCTAAAAGAGAGGGAACACTGGACTGACATCATCATGAGACATCAGGTGACACAAACACCACTCCAACTGCAACAAACCAAATATACTAAATGTCTAGGTGCTGCTAGGTGCTAATGCTAGTAAGCTAGCCCCACCCCTCTGTTGAGTTTGTTCCTGTTTAATTCACCAATAGAGAAAAAAAAGCTAATGCTAAGTGCTACTGCTAGGAGCTGATGCTAGTGAGCTAGCCCCACCCCTCTGTTGAGTTTGTTCCTGTTTAATTCACCAATAGAGAAAAAAAAGCTAATGCTAAGTGCTACTGCTAGGAGCTGATGCTAGTGAGCTAGCCCCACCCCTCTGTTGAGTTTGTTCCTGTTTAATTCCCCAATATAGAAAAAAAAGCTAATGCTAAGTGCTACTGCTAGGAGCTGATGCTAGTGAGCTAGCCCCACCCCTCTGTTGAGTTTGTTCCTGTTTAATTAACCAATAAAGACTAAAAAATAAGCAAATGCTAATGCTAATGCTAGCTGCTAATGCTAATGCTAGCTGCTAATGCTAACGGGAACGGCGGCTAGCTCGCGACCCCCCAGTGCCGGCCTTGCGCCCAGCAGACAGAGCTAGCCGCCCGGCGGCTAGCTCGCGACCCCCCAGTGCCGGCCTTGCGCCCAGNCAGCGGCTAGCTCGCGCCCCCCAGTTCCGGCCTTGCGCCCATTAAAGAGGAGCTAGCCGCCCGGTGGCTACATTATTATGCAATCTAATAACTTCTTAAATTCATTCACCAGTGAACAATGCCAGCAAGATGGCTGCTAATGCTAGCAAGCTGGCCCCCCCACTTGTTATTTTG